ATTGTTGAATTGCGGTGAAGCAGTCAAGGTGATGATCTGACTCTGCCCATCTACATAGGTGAATGCCCTGGAAGAATATTTTTATCTTTTTCTTTTTCTACCTCTTACCCTTTCTCTCCCTTTCTTTTCTTCTTCTTTTTCCCTCTTTTAGTTAAGTAAAGCTCAATAGGCATGTGACAGTCAAGGAGATGCGTAGAATGTGAAGTATTTCCAGAGGAAACCAAAGACATGTTAGGTATAACAGAAATGCATATATGTAAAGATTCATAAGGCTGTATATCGAGATGGAATTGCATAATCCGCCTTTATTTACCAATTGTCAACAGAATCTCTTATTGACTGCCTACTGACCAAAACTTTTATATGTATGTATGTAAGTCTTGCTTTTAATGTAAAAAACTTTTTCATAAATAAACAATTATAAATACAAATTTAAAAAAAGAATATTTAGGATTACACCAGAAAGAAAAGGAGTTTCTTTTTATGAAGTGCACACTATTTAAAGTTCATGTTTACATATATTTGTATTATTTGTTAGGTAAATAATGGTGACATTTTGCAGCAAACCTCACAGGACCCCACTTATCACAGCCTATATATATTTTGTACTTCAATACTGGCTAGTTTGCTGTTTAACTGGTTGTTTTGAAAAATAGAAATAAAAATGTTTGCTATTGGCTACAAAAATAGTTCTTATCATCAAACACTTCCAAGGCCTAATATGACACCATTGGTAAGCACAATTACCAACTTTAATTAAAATGAACCAACTTAAACTGGAATTCAGATTTAAATGTCAGTGAAGCACCATAGTGAGACTAGCAAGCTTGGCATCAGTAGCACATTCAAGAGAAACCATGGACATTTGATTCATGGGAATAGGCCTTTTTCATGAATTTGTGGTACTGTCAGGGTATCATGACTGCATGAATGTGGTGCTGTCAGGCTATTCTGACTACAGCAAAACCGCTGGTAGAATGAACATGACCAATTTTTCACAAAGTATTTGGGACTTTTAAGGCACACACTGTTGTCAGCATTTTTTTAAAAACTATTTTATTCCAAGCTTTGAAATATCAATAAAGTTGTCCGTACAATTCCTTATTCCACCACAGCCCCATCATGTAATTAATATCATATTTTTACATTTCACATATCTCAATGTAAGTAGTTGAGGTAAGGAAAAGGAAGTCCAATGTGTTTTGTGAACTTCTTCAGGGACAGGGTGGACATATGAACATTCTCAACAGATTTCCTAATTAAAAAACCCAATCAGTAGTCTATACGTACCACCACACAACCTCTTTTAAAACCATGAGGGGCCTCAGAAGATTCTTTGGGAAAGGGAAACACATTTAGATCTTGAATCATATCACTCATTACTTAGTAATGAGTGATATTCCACACATATGCCATAAAATCCCACATAAATCACCACCACATATGGCCGTGTGAGCAGCACAAAAGCAGCAGGGGACAGGACAGACATGGATGCTTCTCTTCTCCTTTTCTAGATTTTTCAGTCCATTCTGCCCACTCCCAGCCCACAGGACCACTAGCCTTTGTTTCCTCTGCTTCTAAGGCTGCCAGTTAGAGCAAGTCCTCTGTTAACATAAAAAAATGTCAGAGGCTAAAAGTCAGAGCTTCTCTAAAATGTAGAAGCAATTGACAGCCAATTGTACTGTTAAAATAACCAACAATGCCCCCTTTACTATTAATTCTACTACATTTTGCCATTTCGCCCATTTCGCTAATTCCTATTTCTGGTAAGGACAGAAGCAGACAACTATCACTAGGATGGAATGGCTTAGGGTAGTTAGTTTGGTGTTGTGATGTTAGGGAAACAAGAATATAAACACATAAATAGCAGAATAAACCAGAGGTATTTTTTTCATCATAGACAAAATGCCTAAAATGCATAAATGTACAAAGACCAAAATAGACATTCAATATACAGTATAATCTATACATGTAAAAAAAACAAAAAAGTATACTTTGTGTCTGGTCCTTGATGAAGGATGCAGGAGGTTTTCTAAATGAAGGTCATTGTTACATTCCATTAACAATTTTATATGCTAGCGTCATAAGGAAGCAATCTGCATAACCGCTACAAATTTAATTAAAACATGCAACACTTTCATCCTTTCAAAATAATAGCTCAAGTTTCATAAAGCATTAAACAACTTCCTAGGAGCAAAGGCACTATATATTATTTATATATATATATACACACACACGTGTGTGCTGGGATCTATTGTATATACCTGTGTGCTGGGATCTATTGTATATACTAGTGTGCTGGGATCTATTGTATATACGGTGGTACCTCAGTTCACGAACTTAATTGGTTCCACGATTCTGGTAGCGAACCGAATCACATTTTCCCATAGGGTTCAATGTAAATCAGGTTAATCCGTTCTGAACCATATGGGAAAAAAAAACATTTAACCACAAGTTTCTTTTTACCCCCATTCTTGCTCTGCAAATCCTTGTCACCTTCAATAACGCTCTGCACATTTTTGTCACCTTCAATAACGCTCGGAGCTCCCCAGTACCCGAGCCTGTCCACCACCAGAGCCATCCTGATACCGCCACTCACCGCTGCCCGGCCAGCCCGAATCCTTTGCCACCCCCACCCCCAGATTGCTGGCCACGCCCACAGCTCAAGACTGACTGACAGCAGGAGGCTGTCCCCACCCCCAGTCACTTCCTTCTTTACCTTAGGTGGAATGCAGCCTTGGGAAACTAGTGTGGCCGTCAGGCACTCCTTTGGCTGTTGCCGCTGACTGCCTCACTGGTTTGGGGGCGCAATTCTGCCTCCCCCCTGGAAAGTGCTGGTCAAGGCAAACGCCTTGTTTGCCTTGTGGTAGATACGGCCCTGGTTATAGGAATTGTCTGATCATAGGTCTTAAGCAAGTTTCAGTAGGTTATAAACATGTAAAATGGATCAGTATCACTAATACTAGATATTATTAAAGTTGGTGAATTTGAAAGAAAAGCTCCACTCAATAAACACAGCAAACAGTTTATTTTAGAGGTCACATAGTGAAGAACAGCTGAAATCATAGGTGCCCCTGATGTTAAAGAAGCACTTGAAACACTTTCCTAAAAGACACAGGAGGACTGTCATTTGCAAATCCCCTTTTGAAGATGTTAGTCGTCTGGCTAGTTTATCGGCATCCTTATCACTGATAACACTAAACTGATGAGCGGTAAAAGCTTTTAAAGCGTCGCCCATGGCCAATTTTGGGTACGGTAATTTTCTGCGATTTCGCGGGTGCGCGCAATTTTAAAGCTTGACATGTTTGGTGTCTATTTACCCGACGTGACCCGATCTTTTATATTTTACCAAAAAACTGGGTAATAATAAATGTTTCCTAACATAATGTTAAAAAAAACTTTTTTTTCCCCAAATTTTCTCTAATTTTTCCTAATTATAGTAAAAAATAAAAACCCCAGTGGTGATTAAATACCACCGAAATAAAGCTCTATCTGTCCCCAAAAAATGGTATAAAATTCATTTCAGTACAGCGCTGCATGACGGAATAAACGTCAGTCAAAGTACCGCAGCGCTGAATACTGAAAAATGGCCTGGCCAGGAAGGGGGTCTAAACACCTGGTCTTGAAGTGGTTAAAGACGAGTTCCAGGCAGAGGTTTTCTAAACCCTTGCAGTGGGGCTAGCCCTGAACTGCAAGGGTTAAGTGCTCATTTTTGTCTCGGTGCTAAAAAAAAACAGTTATACTCACCCAAACCGCGAGCCAGCTGCCTGCTTCTCCAGTCACTGAAGCCTGTCTCCTCCTCCTATGCTGCAGCTTCCTCAGGTCTATAAAATGTATAGGACGTGATGAATTATGGGACCTTAGACTGCTGCAGTGAAAGGGGAGAGTAGCTCAAAGGACCGGTCTAAGAGCAAGCTGGCTCTGAGCATTGGGCGAGTATTACTTTTTTTTGAGCATCTTGACAAAAACAAGCATTTAAACCTTGCAGTGCATGGGTAGCCCCACTACAAGGGGTTAAGAAAAACTCTGCCCGGACTTCTGATTTATGGCAAGAGGGTACTCATGACAGCTATGAAACTAGCAGTTGCAACAGGAGAAGTGGTAATGAAAGATACCAATCTCTCTTAGGAAAGGTCTCCTTCAAAGGCAGGCAGATTGGTGTGGCCAGTTACAAGGGAAGAAATAACTAATATTCACTGGTGGCACCAGTTTCTAGTAGGTATATTACTAGCAAGATGGTACTGGCTACAAATAAGTATTCTACTCTTCAACAGTTGTACCTGCTGTATAGGAAACATTAGGGGGTCTATTCACAAAGGAGGTCAGGAATTGGTCAGGAAGTTAGGCAGCCTTGGGAAGTGCAGCCGGTGTTCTTTCAATAGAACACCGGCTTCCCAGGCAATCAGGCATCCTGATAATAGGGGCACATGGCACCGGTATCGGTATTCAAGATCAGCGAGTACCGAAAAAAAAATCAGTACTCGATACCGAATAAAGAGTAACGGTGCATCCCTATTCAAAATATATATCTAATAATATAAATATTTAACAATTTTATGCATATTAATAGAGATTACTAGTGACTCATTTGTGTCACTAACTATACTAAGTTACATGTTTAAAACTATAAAGAAAACAGAACTACACAATTATATGACAGCAAGGCAGACCATATTTCTAATGTTACATAAGTCTTCAAAAACAAGAGCATTTTAAATTAAGACAGTGAATATCAGAGTTTACTGTCACACTTATTCACAACATATGTTTTGGATGAAAAAAAGGCAGCAATGTCTGCATATTGTTGGTTGTGTTTATGAGAATCATCTGTATCATTCCATGAGGAGGCGATGGCCACATGCAACCAGTCACATGATGACAGCGCCCCCATAGGCAGGTCAGTGATTGGAGAAGATTTCGTGAAGGGCATCTAAACAGGCTGGATTACTGTGGAAAAAGGAGGGCTTTAAATACTCTGCTGCTGCACTGTGTCACATATCTCACACAGGTACATTGGCTGACCTCTGCTCTGCTCTGCTGAGACTACCACTAGCAAGATGAATGTAGATACCTGCAAAATAAATGGAGGACATACCTATGTAAGTTTAAAAGCTCTCTGTATTTATCATATATATA